ATGGAGGAGGACGAGGAGTGGGGAGATAGGGGAGAGAGGAAGTAGAGGAGAGGGAGAAGGTAGAAGAGGGAGTAGGTAGAGGATGGTGGGAGAAGACGGAGGAGGTAGAGGAGGGGGAGAAAGTGGTGGAGAAAGAGAGGGGGAGGTAGAGGAGGGAGGAGGTAGAGGAGGTGGAGAATGTGATGGAGGAGGACGAGGAGTGGGGAGATAGGGGAGAGAGGAAGTAGAGGAGAGGGAGAAGGTAGAAGAGGAAGGATGTAGAAGATGGCGGGAGAAGGTGGAGGCGGTAGAGGAGATTTGGAGAATGTGGAGGAAGTAGAGGAGGGGGAGAAGCTGGTAGAGAAGAAGGGAGAGGAGGTGGCGGAGAAGGAGCAGGGGAAGAAGGGGGAGGAGGTAAAGGAAGGGGAGAAGGTGGGGAGGAGGAGGAGGGGGAGGAGGTGACGGAGGAGGAGGGGGAGAAGGTGGTGAGGGAGGGAGGGAGTACGTTTTTAAATAACATAAATATAACTTTATTAGAAACGTTTTACGAACATTTGGGAAACGTTTCATTCATACCAAACCATAAAATAACCGAATAGTATAGCGTAGTACATGTATCTATGCGCATGGCTTCCAAGTAATTACCGGGTTACCTTTGTTTTGAATTGTTTTTTTCCGACTAACCGTTTATCAAACGAGATTTGCCATTAAAGTATAAATAACACGGCAACTCCACGGGTATTAAACGATATAATTTTATTCACTCAGCACTCTATTCTCCTATTTCTGGCCTTTAAAAGAAGCACAAGATTGTTTTTCTAGGTGCTTGCATATAGCGGGACGAGTTAATCAAAGTTGACTAGACACAAAACGAATATGTGCCATTTTCGCGGTGGTTTGCCGGTGTGGTGTTTTGAACATAAACATTGTTCAAAACTACCCATTGTCAACTCGAAGTGCTAAGAATAGATTGTAACATTATTATTTTATATATTCTGCTTATTATGAGCTATAATACTTATAGAAATATATTAATGATCATAATGTAAAAATGCTCCAAAGTTGAACTAGTGCCGTTTTGCTCAAGTTGTTGATAGATGGCGCTATGAGTCGGAAACGTGGTCCGGTAAAAATTTCAGGATCGAATGATTCGATTCGCAGATCGAATGATTCGATTCTGGAATCAAATGATTTGATTCTGGAATCGAATCATTCGATCTGCGAATCGAACCATTTAATTCTGGAATCGAATCGTTCGATTTTGGAATCAAATCATTCGATCTGCGAATCGAACCATTCGATTCTGGAATCGAATCATCAAAACCGAATGGTTTGATGCCAGGATCGAATGGTTTGATGCCAGGATCGAATGGTTTGATTATCTTTTCTGATATAAAATCAAATAATGTGAACATTTAAAACAAGGAATTATTGTCGATTTATTGCATATAACATATGATTAAATAATCAAATATTATATGCGATAAATCAAATGTTATATGCAATAAATCGAATATTATATGTGATAAATCGAATGTTATATGTGATAAATCGAATGTTATATGTGATAAATCGAATGTGATAACATCAACGATAAAAAACATGCCATGATAATTATGTAGGACCACATGCATGTTCAAAAAACTGGGGGGAGGGGGACATTTGATAGTGTGTCCCCCACCCTTCAAAAAGTGGGGGGGGGGGACGTGTCCTCCGTATCCCCGTGGCATTATTACTACTATAGTACTAGAGCTACTACTACTAGTACTAATACTATATCAGGGTTCTCCAAGAGCAGTTATAGCCTGGCGGCCCGCCAGGCTATCGTCGAGCCCCGCCATCCTAAAATGCACCCGCCACTCTAAATATCATAGCCGCCATGCTAAATATCATAGCTCCCGGACCCCCCTAGCACGCAAACCGCCTTCGGCAATTCGCAAAGTTCTAGGACCGTAAAGGCAGCACCCGCCATGCTATAGTGAAAAAGCTTGGAGAACCCTGTATATAGTATAGTACTTTAGAGCTAGTAGTACTACTAGCTCCAAGAAATGGTCTTTGCTAGGATTAGAATACTCCTATACTAGACAACCCTTGCTTATATAGCAAGCAATTTACTCTAGCTAGTTCCTGATACTGACAATGACAATGGCAGTGGGAGATTGTAGTGGTAGGGGTGCATTAGTCCGAGCCGACGCAGACCCCAGTAATGGGGGTGATGTTAAACCCGCACCCTCACATTAGCAAAGCGGAGTTATAACGTCTGCATTTGCGGACTAGGGGTGCATATGATATAAGGCAAGGTCACATAGATGATAGAGATGCCAGATAATGTATTAATTGTTTATATATAGAAAAAGAAGCTGTCAGGAAATCATTAGATACTATATATAATGCTAATGCAGTAAGCTGTATTCATATGCTGCACTTTCGCCTGCTGTTATCGAAAATCGAAAATCAAAATACTAACTCGTTCGTACACAATTACGATACCACTGCCACAATGCTAGCACTATTTTTAAAGTGGGCGGAGCCCCGGGGAAATGCAACAAATGGCGATTCTTAAACAGCGTATGGTTTGAAAGAGGTAACTGGGCGCACAATCCGAGTACTATTTCGTATCACTATTTTATCAAATTTTCCATTAAATAATGGTCCGATTTTTCTTATGTTTGGAACTTTTTATGTTTGGAACTTATAGTGAAAACGCCTAAGACCACATGGAAATGGAACCACGGCGAAATCAAAAGCTTCGCTCTCGCCCCCCCATCTGTACGACCCTTCATGTAAGTCGCGAGTTCCTCCCACGTCCCAAATGTCTGCCCTCTGTGTCCCCCGCTAAAATTGCGGACTGTTCGTTGGCAGCTATGGATCCGTGCGCCTGTCTATGCATTCGGCGCACGGATCCATAGCTGCCAGTGCTGCATACTGTCGTAGGACGTTCCCGCGATCGCGTGCGCCTTGCCGTGGAACTGCGCGCAATATCTGCGCTCAGCGCTTAGGCCGTTAGGATCAACATCTCCTTTCGGCAAAACTTCTCTGGTATCCCGTCTCTCTGGATTTGTATCAACCAATGGGAGTTGGGATGATGGGAGGTATGCAGGCCCTAGCTGCGAGTGACGGGGTGGGACTATAAGTATAAGTATAACTAAGTTATAACCGTACCGTATAACTCATAAGTATTACTATAAATAATAATTAATATAAGTATCACGAAGACGGATAACAGTGATGCTTATAAAGATACTTACCCAGAAAAAAAAGTTAAAAAAGAACAACAAGTACTTTATTACTGGACTAACGTAACTGTCTTTCGG